GCTGGATATGATACCAAGAGTCAGGCAGTGTAACAGAGAGATCAGAAAGAAAGTCCTGCTAAGATCACTGTCCTCCAAGGTGACCATATATGCCTAAGGCTGCACCCTCTGTGGATCAACATCAGAGGCCACCATCACCCTGATACCAAAACCAGAGAAAGATACCACAAAAAAGAAACCTACAGGCCAGTATCACTGACAAACATAGACACAAAAATTCTCAACAAGATACTAGCAAACCAAACCCAATAATACATTCAATTATCCACAAATCAATATCCACAAATCAATCAGTGTAGTACACCATATTATCAAACTGAAGGATAAAAACTATATGATTATCTCAATAGATGCAGAAAAAGCTTTTGACACAATTCAACACTGATTTATGATAGAAACTCTCCAGAAAGTGGGCATAAATGGAATTTACCTCAAGATAATAAAGGCTATATATGACAAATTCACAGCTAAAATCATTCTCAATGGTGAAAAACTGTAAGCATTCCCTCTAAGATCAGGAACAATGCAAGCATGTCCACTGTCATCACTTTTATTCAACATAGTTGTGAAGTCCTAGCCATGGCAATCAGAGAAGAAAAAGGAATGAAAAGGAATTCAAATTGGAAAAGAAGAAGTAAAATTTTCACTGTTTGCAGATGACATGATACTACAGATAGAAAATCCCAAAGATGCTACCAGAAAACTACTAGAACTTAGCAATGAATTTGGTAAAGTTGCAGGATACAAAATTAATACACAGAAATCTCTTTCATTCCTTTACATTAACAATGAAAGATCAGAAAGAGAAATTAAGGAAGCAATCCCATTTACTATCACATCAAAAAGAATGAAATACCTAGGAATAAAAAGCTACCTAAGGAGACAAAAGACCATACTCTGAAAACTGTAAGACAATGATGAAAAAAACCAAAGATGACATAAACAGATGGAAAGATATATACCATATTCTTGGAAGAAACAATATTATAAAAATGACTATACTGTCCAGGGCAATCTACAGATTCAGTGCAATTCCTATCAAATTACCAAGAGCATGTTTTACATAAATAGAACCAAAAAAAATTTTAACTCATATGGAAACCCTAAAGACCCTGAATAGCCTAAGCAATCCTGAGAAGAAAAATGGGGCTGGAGGAATCAAGCTCCCTGATTTCAGACTATACTACAAAGCTAGAGCAATCAAAACAGTATGGCACTAGCACAGAAAGAGAAATATAGATCAATGGAACAAGGATAAAAAGCCCAGAAATAAACCCATACACCCATGGTCAATCAGTCTGTAACAAAAGAGGTAGGAATATACAATGGAGCAAAGAATCTCTTCAATAAGTGGTGCTGGGAAACCTGAAGAGCTACATGTAAAAGAATGAAATTAGAATATTCTCTTATACCATACACAAAAATAAATTCAAAATGAGTCAAAGACCCAAGTGTGAGGCTGGACACTATAAAATTCCTAGAGAAAAACACAGGCAGAACACTCTTCGACATAAATCACAGCAATATCTTTTTGGAATATCTTTTTGGAAGATTACATTACCCCTTACAGTAATGAAAAGTTAAAAAAAAAAAAAAACAGGATCTAATTAAACTTAAAAGCTTCTGCACAGCAAAGGAAACTATAAACAAAACAAAAAGACAACCCATAGAATGAATGGGAGAAAATATCTGCAAATAAAGCAACTGTCAAGGGATTAATCTCCAAAATATACAAATAGTTCACACAGCCTTACATTTAAAAAAAAAATTGCATTCAAAGGTTGTTGGTTGTCTAAATAGTTCTCCAAAGAAGACATACAGGTGGCCAAAAAGCATATAAAAATATGCTCAACATCACAGTATATGAGAAATGCAAATCAAAACATCATCCAAAAGTCTATAAATAATAAATGCTAGAGAGGGTGTGGAGAAAAAGGAATCCACCTACACTGTTGGTGGGAATGTAAATTAGTATGACCACCATGGAGAACAGTATGGAGGCTCCTTAAAAATCTACAAATAGAACTACCATATGATCCAGCAATCCCACTCCTGGGCATATATCCAGAAAAACACAATTTGAAAAGATATACGGACCCCAGTGAATTTTAAAAAGATACATGTTCACTGTAGCACCACTTACAATAGCTAGAGATATGGAAGCAACCTAAATGTCCATTGACAGAGGAATGGATAAAAAAGATGTGGTACATAAATGCAATGGAATATTACTCAGCCATAAAAAAGAACAAAATAATGCCATTTACAGCAATATGGGTGGACCTAGAGATTATCACACTAAGTGAAGTCAGACAGAGAAAGACAAATATATGGTATCACTCATATGTGGAATCTATTTCTTTAAATGATATAAATGAACTTATTTGCAAACCAGAAAGAGACTTACAGATATCAAAACAAATGTATGGTAACCAAAGGGTAAATATGGGGGGGAAGGATAAATCAGGAGTTTGAGATTGACATACACACAAAGCTATAGAGAGGATAGAAAACCAACAAGGACCCTCCTACTGTATAGCACAAGGAACTCTACTCAATACTCTGTGATAACTATATGAGAAAAGAATCTGATTAAAAAAAATGAATATATGTATATGTATAATTAATCACTTTGCTGTACAACTGAAACACAATATTTTAAATCAACTATATGTCAGTAAAAATTTTTTAAAAAACAGACAAAAAGATTGGATAAATATGTGACATACATATATACAGTGGAATATTGCTCAGCCATTAAAAAGAGTGAAGTCCTGCCATTTGCAACAACACAGATGGCCTTAAACAGTATCATGCTAAGTAAAATAAGTCAGACAGAGAAAGGCAAATACATATAATTTCACTTATACATGAAATCTGAAAAAAACAAGCAAACATAACAAACAGAAACAAAGTCATAGATACAGAGAACAGTAGGGGGTTGCCAGAGGGGAGAGGGCTGGGGGAGGAGAGCAGTGAAGGAGATTAAGAGGTACAAATTTCCTGTTATAAATAAATGAGCCATGGGTATGAAATGTACAGTTCAGGGAATATAGTCAACAATTACATGTTAACTTTGCATGGTGACAGCTGGTAACTAGACTTATCATGGTGATCATTTTAAAATGTATAGAAATATCAAATCACTATGCTATATACCAGGAACTAATATATAATACTGTAGGTTCAATACATTAATAGTTCAAAACAAACAAGCTTATAGAAAAAGAGATCAGATTGTGGCTACCAGTGGCAGGGAGTATGGGGAGGAGAACTGGATGAAGACAGTCAAAGGTATAAACTCCCAGGTCTAAGATAAATAAATACTAGAGATGTAATGTCAAAGGAGGCAATGGCACCCCATTCCAGTACTCTTGCCTGGAAAATCCCATGGACAGAGGAGCCTGGTAGGCTACAGTCCATGGGGTCGCTAAGAGTTGGACACGACTGAGCGACCTCACTTTCACTTTTCACTTTCATGCATTGGAGAAGGAAATGGCAACCCACTCCAGTGTTCTTGCCTGGAGAATCCCAGGGACAGGGGAGCCTAGTGGGCTGCCATCTATGGGGTCGCACAGGGTCAGACACAACTGAAGTGACTTAGCAGCAGCAATAGCAGAGATGTAATGTACAACATGATGAATATAATTAATACCGTTCTATGTTACATATGAAAGAGAAAAGAGTAAATGCTAAGAGTTCTCATCACAAGGTAAAAATTTTTTTTCTACTTCTTTAAATTTGTATCTACACAAGATAATGGCTGTTCACTAAACTTGTTGTGGTAATCATTTCATGATTTATGTAGGTCAAATCATCATGCAGTATACTTTAAACTTACACAATGTGCAGTGCTTACTCACTCAGTCATGTCCAACTCTTTGAGACCCCATGGACAGTAGCCCACCAGTTTCCTCTGTCCAAGGGGGTTCTCCAGGCTAAAATACTGGAGTGGGTTGCCATGCCCTCCTCCAAGGGATCTTCCCAACCCAGGGATCAAACCCAGGTCTCCCGCATTGCAGGCAGATTCTTTACCATCTGAACCACCAGGGAAGCCGATACTTTAAACGTACAGTGCTATGTCAATTATCTCAATAAAACTGGGAGGAAAAAAAGTCTGAGAAATGTCACAGCCAAGAAGAACCTGAGGAGACATGATGACTAAATGTAATGTGGTAGCTCTGCAACAGAAAAGGACATTGGGTAAATTCTAAGTAAACCTAATGAAGTATGAGCTTTAGTTGGTTTAAAAAAAAAAAAGCAAGTAAGATGACACTGTTCTATCAAATGGCTCAACAGTACATTTGAACTGGCAAAAGAACCAGTAAACCTCATGATAAATCAATAGAGATTATGCATTTAAAATAACAGAACAAAGAAAAATAAACAGAGCCTCAGAGAAATGTGAGACACACTATTAAGAGTACTAACATATACATAAAGGGAGTATTAGAAGGAGAGAAGAAAAAGAGAAGCATAAGAAATATTAAAAGAAATAATAGCAGAAAAGTTGCCACATTTATTGAAATCATTAATTTACCACAGAGGAAATTCAGTGAAGTTCTAGTAGGATAAAGGCAAAGAGATCCACAAAAGACACATCACACTTCCTGGAGGTCTTCCCTGGAGGTTCAGTGAATAAGAATCCTCCTGCTAATGCAGGGGACACGGATTCAATCCAGTGCCTGGTCCAGGAAGATTCCACAGGCCATGCAGCAACTAAGCCCACGCACCACCACTACCGAGCACTTGCGCTGCAAATACTGAAGGCCACCATGCACCTAGAACCTGTGCTGCGCAACAAGAGAAGCCACTGCAATAAGAAGCCCATGCACTGCGAAGAGGAGTAGCCCCTGCTCACTACAACCAGAGGCACGCAGCAACAAAGCCCCAGCACAACCAATAAATAATTTTTAAAAGACAGATCATGCTAAAATGCTAAAGCCAAAAGCAAGGAGGAAAATCTTGAAAGTAGAAAAGAAAATCGACTCATTACTTACACAGGATGAAAATCTAGTTTGCTTCTTTACCACACAAGCATTACAGGGTTGCATGTGAGGTAAGCCGCTCTCCGAGGTGCTGACACTGCAAGGTGGATCAAGATGGTGGCTCCCAAAGGTGAGTCTACTTGCTGGCTTGGTCCATAAGGAAGTTTTCACTCATCTGCAATGAGATGAGAAAAATAAGCACAATGCATGAAGTTTTTCATAAAGTTAATTCTACTCAATATAAATGACTATTCTACATTTGTGTCCAACTCCTGATGTTAAAATATTATTCTGCTAAACAGTGGGAATAATAATAATATTGGTAGTTTTAAGGTCTTTATATTGTCAACAGTATAATGCTGACAGTCCTTTGTTGGCATCCCTATTTTTTCTGTGAATGTTTTTTTACATTTTTTCAATTGAAGTTTAGTTGATTTACAATGTGATGTTAGTTACAGGTGTACAGCAAAGTGAATCAGGATATCCCTATTTATATTTTGCCAGTTTATAAAATCCAAAAGTCTAAAAGCCAACTTCTTTGGGATGCTACTGTATAGCTGGGAAGTACAGGGAGCCACGCACCTTCTTCTCAGCCCTCCAAGCTTTACTTATAATGAGGTTTGAATTGTAGAGTAGTTAAAGCAGAAACTGATTTTTAAATAGGCCATGGGTGACCACTGCAATCCCTACAGAGCTGTAGAGACAAGACCCCCCAGTTACCAGCAAACTGTGGGAATTGCTCCACATCCACTTACAAAGGACTATGTGTGACTGACTGTAGCATAAAAAAATAAATAAATAAAACTTTCACTAAGAGGTTAGACTATGGCCTTGCTCAAGCTTGGCAGTATTTCATAGCATGGATCCTTGAATCATATAGACATGAGTTCAAACCTGGGTTCTCCCATCTTTAGCAGTGAGACCTAACCTCTTGTGCCTCAGTTTTCCCAACAATAAAGCAGAGCAAATAATAGTAACTTTTGTGAGGATTAAATAGAAATGCAGATAAATTACCTAGTACATAGTAAGCAGTCAGTAAATTTTTGCCATAATAATCTGTTGTTACTGCCCACCATAGTGTAAAGCCTATAGTAGAATACTAGGTCTCCCTCCACCCCCCCCCCTCCTTTTTCTCAGTAATAAAACAGGCAATGCCTGACTTTAACCCCAGGTCTCAATTCTCTGTAGATCTGTGTTACATGTAGCTGTCTATCCTATATGCACTGAAAAGTAACTATAAAAATGCCCTTTTAAAAGAAAAATGTGTATACATCGCAAAATCTATTTTAAATTATTATCTAACATTTACTAAGTTCTATTTGCCAGGTACTACACCAAGCACTTTTCATGAATTATCTGTTTAAAACCTTATCACAATGCCAAGAGGTAAATCTGATTGATATCCATATTGACAAATGAGGAAACTATAGCTAGGGGAAGGCACAAAAACACCACATTCACTTTGTCTGATGTCATACAACCAGTAATGGGCAAAAGAAAACACAGACCTTGATCTGTCTTGTCCTAAAGCCCTTGTAGGGCTTTCCCTGGTGGCTCAGTGGTAAAGAATCTGTCTGCCAGTGCAGGAGATGTGGGTTCAGCTCTGGGTCAGGAAGATCCCCAAGGGAAGGAAATGGCAACCCACTCCAGCATTCTTGCCTGGGAAATCCCATGGACAGAGGAGGCTAGCAGGCTACAGTTCATGGGGTCACAAAAGAGTTAGACACAACTTAGCTACCTAACAACAAAAAAAGCCCTTCCTCCTCATCCCATTGCCTCCCTTTGGCTCCTAGTTTCCTCTCCTTCACACTAAATATATCTAGGGGTATGGACCTAAATAGTTCCATTTTATGGACAGATTGAGGCTGAGAGAGAAGCTAACACCACCCAAGGACGCTCACCAGAGCTCAGAATTGAGGATCTTTTCCTGCCTCATCTCTGCAGGTGCCCATCAATATAAGTACGGTAAGAACCGAGCTGAGGAGGATGCCAGGAGGTACCTGGTAGAAAAAGAGAAGCTGGAGAAAGAGAAAGAGACAATCCGGACAGAGCTGATGGCACTGCGGCAGGAAAAGAGGGAACTAAAGGAAGCTATTCGGAACAACCCAGGTATCTATGGGGTGTGGCCCTGAGCAATGAGGGGCTCACACTTGAACCCTGACACCTCCCCTGGTACTGGCCACCTGGCTTCTTACCAGGAAGAGGTAGGCTTCTCCTCCCCTTCCTCCTTCTCCTCACCAACACTGTCATCACCATGTCTCCTGACTAATGAAAGTGCCATTGACTGAGTAACTGCTTTTAGAGTGAGGGGATGAAAAAGTAACACAATGTATATACTTAATGTGGTAAAAGGAGATCTGATTTTAGAAATTTTAAAACATGAAAAATAAGAGTGTGCCTTAGAATCAAGGAAGATATATCATTTTGAACCTCACATTAACTCATTCATTCACAGCTATGTACTAAGGACCCAAATGTGTGAAACATTGATCCAGGTACTGAGAATAATGGACAGTGACAGTTCACCAGTATCCCCTTCTGAAATCCAGGACCATGACCTCTGCAGGCCTTATATACCCTGGGCTCCTCTGTGCCCCACTTTCTGCCATTTTTCTGTTGAATTCTCTCTTTAGCTGCAGTTCAGCACACTTTCAGAATAAGGTTTCTGAACATGTTGCAGGGAACTGGAGGTCCTATGGTTATATAAAATATGTCTAAGGTCACATAGCCCCATGAGAATCTGATGGAACCTATGGACCCTTTCCTAAAGAAGAAAACCCCCACAAATCACAAGGTTGCAAATAATTTCAGCAGCTCAAGTGCACATAGAGCCACAGATTGCCTAGGAATTCACAAACCTCAGACTGAGAACTTCTGGCTTAATGACTTGTTCTATGTGGCTAGGAACCAGAATCAATGGGAAGAAGGCACATGAAGACAGTTTGGTTTCAATATAAAGAAAAACTTTCTAAGAGTCAGAACTAGAGTTTGAAGCAGGTTGACTTGACTGTCCAACTTGTCCTGCTCAATTTTTTTCTATAGCATATAACTTTTTAACAGATTACTTATTGTATTTGTATTGTTTTCTCTCACACACACATACATATAAACACACAATTATAAGTTCAATAAGGGCAAAGATCTTTCCCCGTTTTGTTCACTAATATATCTCAAGGGCATAGAACACTGCCTGGTACCGAACAAGCACTCAATATTTACTGAATGAATGAATGAATAAAAAGAATTACCATTATCAGAAAACCCTCCGGTGCAACCTCTTTCAGGGCAAACAATGGAACTAATTTTTAAACCTATTAAGATCCAAGACAGCTCCTGACACAAAGTCCTAACACAGGTTTGTTGGCTTAAACTGAATAAGCAGCAAAATCCTAGCAAGGACTTGTGATCAGTGTAAAGCCCTGCGTTGATTCTTGGTTACAAGTAAGAAAACTCACCAGCTTAGAAATGAAAAGGAAAATGTGACTGGAAACTTAAGTGATCAGGTGTAGCAAAGTCCAGAGACTTAAGCGACGTCACCAGGAAGCATGTTTCTCCAGTTCTTGCTTCTGCCTTTCCCTACTTTGGTTTCTTCTCTGTCCCTCAGGGTGGTATCAAGGCTTCACAACTCTAGCCCTCACACAGTCCATGCAGCCACTCCAGCAGAGAGGCTTCCCCTCCCAATGGGCCCCATTAAGCACCTTAGGATTCACTTTGATTGGACCAGCTTTGGTCCCTAAACTAACCACTGTGACCAGAAAGTGAGATACAATTATGGGCCAGGTCTAAGTTATGTGCCAAGCTCCTGAACTGGAAGTGAGGTCAACCCCATTCAATCTATAGGGAATGAGAGGGGAATGGGGAAACGGACAGTGGGCAGATAAAAAACCACACAACCCAGCATGGAGCTAGAACTGCCGGTCCAAAGTCCATCCCTTAACCAGAAGTAAGGCTAGAAAGGCCCTCTGGGGAGGCAGGTCACGGTCTGTGGGGCTGCCAAACTCCCTGATGTTTCTGGCCAGGCTCAGCTATTTCTCATAGATGTCTTTGGACACAGGGGCAAAGTTAAAGGCTCTTGAAGAGGCTCTGGCCACCCTGGAAGCTCAGTGTCGGGCAAAGGAGGAGCACCGGATCGACCTGGAGCTTCGGCTGGTGACTGTGAAGGAGCGCTTGCAGCAGTCCCTGGCAGGGGGCCCAGCCCTGGGGCTCTCCGTCAACAGCAAGAACAAGAGTGGGGTGAGCTGCTCCTTCATCTCCTCACATGCTGCAGGCTTTCATGATCATTCTTTCAGGGCTAGGAGTTATCCTTATTTACAAATGAGAAAGCTAAAACCCTGAGAGGGAACACGTCACAAGTGGCACGCCCATGAAGGAGACTCTGGAGCAAGTTCTCTGGCCTGTGTTCTCTCCACTGAAGCACCACTATTTGACTTTTTATCCTGAATGTAATCTTAGAAGTGGCCTTGGGGTTATTGATAATATACTATATTGAATAAGAACAAACTTCTATTTATCAATTACCATAGGCTAGTGCAGCATCTTAACCTATATGATTTCACACAATCTTCATAGCAGTCCAGTGAGGCAATATTATGTGCATTCACCCTATCTGACAGACAAGGAAACTAAGGTTCAGATGTCGAAGTACATGCTCAAGGTCACTCAGCTAAATGGGAGACAGGATCCCAAACCCAGGAAGTCTGACTCCAGAAACTTGCTTTAGCCACTGGTACAGGACCCCTGCTGGGACCCCCTGTGTACCAGGCCCTATCCTCAGGGCTTTGCATCCGTTGTCTCTAATGTGCCCAGCAACCCTCATGTTGAAAGGGGTTTCTTCAGGGAGAACTTCAGTGACTTCAGTCTGTATCAGTGTCTCAACCCCAGCATGACTACTAGTAATTTTTTATAGGGCCTGTCATGTGCACTGTAGGATGTTTAGTAGCATCCCCAGCCTCTACCCATCTAATGCCAGGAGCTCCACGTCCAGTTATGACAACCAAAAATGTCTCCAGAAATTGCCAAACATCCCCAGGAAGGACAAAACTGTCCCCGTTTGGGAAGCACTAGTCTAAATTACCAACAGTCCCATCTGTTATTCTGCTTCATGGCACTTAGCCACAATTTGTGTGTGAATATATATATCTGAAAAATAGTAGAAGTGCAATAAATGCTTGTCAA